CAGGCTTGTGGAGGGCTCTGCGAAGGAGCTGAGGGCTTCGGTTTGCTGGGGGCGGCAGCCGACGCTGCTGCTGTCTCTTCACTTTCTTAATATTGTGCTGCAGAGACACAGCAGCAGCAGCAGCAGCAGCAGCAGCAAGAACAGCAGCAGCGGCGCGGGGCGCGCTGCAGCGGGACTCAGCAGCACCGACAGCACGGCCTCTCTGGCAGAGGAGTCCCCTCGCAGCAACAAGAGAAGCAACAGCAGCAGCAGCAGCAGCAGCAGCACCAGCAGCGCAGCTTCCACGGCCGACCGAACCGCTGCTACAGCTGCATCAGCAGCAGCAGCAGCAGCTGCAAGGACAGCAGCAGCCGCTGCTGCTGCCCCAGACACTCCAAGAACCTCTTCATCCACCGCAGCAGCAGCTGCTGCTGCTGCTGGTGCTGCTGCAGCAGCTGGTAGCGGGGACAGCGATGCCGCTGCAGCGGCTTCTGCTGCAGCGGGTGCTCCTCAGCGCCGCGACGCGAGCAGCAGCAGCAGCAGCAGCAGCAGCAGCAGCAGCAGCGCAGCAGCGGAAGGCCGGCAGTGGGGCTCGTCGCTGCTGCTGCCGCTGCTGCTGAGCATTGAGCTGCAAATCACAAACTCAAATATTAAGCTGCTGCACGGGCCTCATTCTGTGTCAGTGGCTTTATCTTCTTTAGTTGTGCGGCTGCCGCCGCAGCAGCAGCAGCAGCAGGGGCTGCTGCATGCGGACAGCAGCAGCAGACACCACCCGCACCACTTTTCAGAACTGCTGCAGCTGCAGCAGCAGCAGCACGCGCTGCAGAGGGAGTGCATATTGACGGACTTGACCGTTTGTATTGATACAGAGCAGCAGCAGCAGCAGCAGCAGCAGCAACAGCAGCAAATGAGGTGGCGAGCCCGCGCTGGCAGCAAAACTTCAGCCTTTTCTTTAAGCAGCGGCTGCAGCAGCCTGCAGCTGTCGGGTTCTGCTGCAGCAGCTGCTGCACAGGACGGCGACGGCCAAACTGATTCAGCTGCAGAAGATCCCGTAGCTGCTTCGGAGGCTGCAGCAGCAGCAAGCGGTGCTGCTGCATCAGCAAGCAGTGCTGCAGCAGCAGCAAGTGGTGCTGCTGCATCGGCAAGCGATGCTGCTGCATCAGCAAGCGGTGCTGCTGCAGCAGCAAGCAGTGCTGCTGCAGCAGCAAGCGGCGCTGCTGCAGCAGCAAGCGATGCTGCTGAAGCAGCATCAGCAGCAGCAGAGAATCTGGAGGCTGAAAGCGCGGCAGAAGCAGCAGACGCTGCAGCAGCAGCAGCAACAGCAACAACAGCAGCAGAGCAGACAGCAGCAGAGGGCACGCCGCTTCAAGCCCTAGATCGAAAAGCTGACGGAAGCAAACCCTTGTCTTTGGACCCAGAAGCAGCAGCCGCTGCTGCTGTTGCTGCAGTTGCTGCAGGAGCTGCAGCAGACACTCAGGACGCGCAGCAGCAGCAGCAGCGACAAAATAACTTCGAGCAGCCGCTGCTGCGACGGTGGGCCTGCAGCATTCGCTTCTCTATCCCTTTGCAGCAGCAGCAGCAGCAGCAGGCAGCAGCAGCAACTGACAGATTCTGCCTTGATGTGCTGCTGCAGCCGCTGCACCTCCGACTCAGCAGCAAACAGCTGCAGGCGCTGCGCTCAATTCTCTTTCAGAAGCCCCCGCCACTGCCTCCAGAGCAGCAACAGCAACAGCAGCAGCAGCAACAGCAGCAGCAGGACGAGCACCAAGGGGAGCCGCAGCAGGAACTGCAGCAGCAGCAGCAGCAAAGCGACAAACTTTCTGGTGTCCTTGAGAGTCCGGCTGTACTTGCAGAGGAAGGATCTCACGAACAGCAGCAGCAGCAAGAGCAGCAGCAAGAGCAGCAGCAGGAGCAGCAGCAAGAGCAGCAACAAGAGCAGCAGCAAGAGCAGCAGCAAGAGCAGCAGCAAGAGCAGCAGCAAGAGCAGCAACAACTGCAGGATAAGGATTCCAGCATCGATGCCCAAGAATTTTCAAGTAGGCCTTCGCTGCAGCAGGAAGAGCAGCAGCAGTCAGATCAGCAGCAGCAGCAGCAGCAGGGCCACCTGGAACAAGAGCAGCAGCAACAGCAGCAACAACAACAGCAGCAGCAGAAGCAGCACCAGGCTCGACTTGCCTTGCAGAGCGAGGCCTGGCGGCGGCTGCCCCAGGTGACTGCAGCAGCACCGCCGCGCAGCAACGGCAGCAGCAGCAGCAGCAGCAGCAGCAGCAGCAGCGGCAGAGCCGGGCGTTGGCTGAAGTGGGCGGTGGATGCATTACTTGGAGACTCTTCTGAAGAAGACACAGAAGATGAACAGCAGCAGCAGCAGCAGCAGCAGCAGCAGCAACAGAGCCAGCAAGAAGGGGAGCACAGAGAAGGGGCAAAGGCAGCAACGAGGACTGCATCAGCATTATCCTTATCAGCTGCAGCAGCAGCAGCAGGAGAGACCAAAGCTAATGGCACAGCTAGCTGGCAGCAGCAGCGGCAGCAGCAGCAGCAGCAGCAGAAGCATGCAGTATCTCCTGAATGGGCCTGCAGCCAAAACGAAGGCAGCAGCAGCAAGGCGCGCAGCCGCTCTCGGAGCTCCGTCAGCAGCAGCAGCAGCAGCAGCGTCCGCAGCAGCAGGCCCAGCAGCCGCAGCAGCAGGCGCAGCAGCATCATGAGCAGGAGGACAAGCAGACACAGCCGCAACAGCAGCAAAAGCAGCAGCTACAGTAGAAGCAGCAGCAAGACGAGCAGCCGCAGCAGCAGCAGCAATAGCAGGCAGATATCTGGCGATGCGGAGCTCGAGGAGGAGGCTCTGCTGCAAGATTTGCTGCAGCAGCAGCAGCAGCAGCAGCCGCTGCTGCGAGGCGCACTTGCCTACGCTATGGTGTCTGTACACCTTCCGTGCCTTTCTGTAACCCTTGTAGCTCCTCCAGAAGCAGCAGCAGCAGCAGCAGCAGTACAAAACAGACTTCGGCAGCAGAGTCTGCTGCTGCCCGCTTCAGACTGCAAAGACAGCAGCAGCAGCAGCAGCAGCAGCAGCAGCAGCAGCAGCAGGCCATTTTTCGCATTTGGGGTTGAGGGTGGCCGTTTGGTGCTGTCGAAGCCTCCTGCTGCTCTTGGCGTCTCTGAGGTGTATGTACACTTCCTGTACGCGTGGGCTCGAGACGCAACAGCAGCAGGCCAATACCTACGGCAGCAGCAGCGGCAGCAGCAGCAGCAGCAGCAGCGACAGCAGCAGCAAGCGCTGCTGTCGAAGGAGCAGCAGCTGCTAGAAGAGGAAGGATTCATCTGTCTCACTGCTGGCAGCGCTTCTGCTGCTGCAGCAGCAACGTCAACTGCTGCTGTTGCAGCAGCCACAGCGGCTGCTGCTGCTGCTGCTGCATCAGCCCCCACAGAGACAACAGACGCAGCCAAAGCACCGGAAAACAGCAGCAGCAGCAGCAGCAGCAGCAGCAGCAGCGAAAGTGCTGACCTTGGCAGTTCGCCGGCCAGAGGAGCAGCGCTGCAGTTTGGGGTTTTGGCCCTACCTGCTGCTGCAGCTGCTACAGCTGGAGGCGGTGGTGCTGCTGCTGCTGCTGCTGCGGGTACAGCAGACACGGCAGGGGCAGCAGCAGCAGCAGCAGCAGCAGCAGGGGCATCAGGCTACCGAGCCAGTGTCCTTGTGGGGCCCCTCTGCGTCAACCTTACGCCGACTTTGCTGCACGAGCTTCGCCGCTTTCTGCTGCTACCACAGCAGCAGCAGCAGCAGCAAGAGCGGCAGCTGCAGATGGATGTGGATTCTTTGGACGGGCTTGCTGATGAGCAGCAGCGGCAACAACAGCAGCTGCAGCAGCAGCAACAATCACTGACAGAGCTGGCTCTCAGCCCCTCAGGGAGCCAGCGCAGCAGCAGCTGCAGCAGCAGCTGCAGCAGCAGCTGCAGCAGCAGCCGCAGCTCTCTTTGGCGCAGCATGAGCAGCAGCAGCAGCAAAGCCAGCAGCAGGCCCTACCCGCAGCTGCTGTATTCCATGGACAGCCGCGACCTCAACGTTAGGAAGCAGCAGCAGCAGCAGCAACAGCCAAAAGGCCGCCGGCGCAGGGCTGATGCAGACGCAGCAGCAGCAGCAGCAGCAGCAAGGCCGGCTGCTGCTGCTGCTGCTAGTGCTCGCCAGGAAATTCATTTTGTTGTTTCCGTGCCTCACGTTGATGTGCAGCTCTTGCTGCAGCTGCCTTGTGGGAGCAGCAGCAGCCTGCCGCAGCAAGAGAGGTGGCATGGTCGCTTAGCAGCAGCAGCAGCAGCAGCAGCAGCAGCAGCAGCAGCAGGGCGTCCAAGTTTTCACTGGCTGCATTTCGCGCTGCGATCTGTCAAGTGAGAATTGCAGTGCCAAAACCCTAAACCCTAAACCCTAAACCCTTCTTGACCAAATGAGCCCCGTGTTCCTCGCGACAAAACCTGCTAGCTGGAGACCTCGTAGTACAGCTTGCAGGGTTTAACGCTTAGGGTTTAGGGTTTAGGGTTTAGGGTTTAGGGTTTAGGGTTTAGGGTTTAGGGTTCAGGGTTTAGGGTCTTGGGGTGTGCGCTTTATCAGGATCAGCCGCAGCTCATTGCCCGAAGTGGTTGAGAGGGAGCTGCTGCCGCTGCTGCTGTGTCAGTGTCTTTGCTTCATCCCCGTGCTGCACATTGCCTTTGCTGCATGCAGCGACGCTGCTGCTGCTGCTGCATCTCCCGCTGCTGCTGCTGCGACAGGAGTGAAGCCACCTGGTGCAGCAGCAGCAGCAGCAGCAGCAGCAGCAGCAGCACACCCAAAGCAGCGCCGCAGGCAGCAGCAAGTGCACAGATGCACCAGCTCTTCTGTCACGGTGGGGCTACTGCAGCTGTCGCTGCTGCAGTATGAGCATCTGCAGCAGCAGCGAGCAGCAGCAGCAGCAACAAGCGAACCTGCTGTTGCGGGAGCTGCTGCTGCTGCTGCGCAGTCCAGGGTACTGCTTTTGCTGGAAGGGTTGGAGGCTGAGGTCATGCAGGAAGACTTCGACAGCAGCTTCGCTGCTGCTGCTGCTGCTGCTGCTACTGCAACAGCACAGCAAGCCACTACAGCAGCAGCAAACGGTCCAGTCGCGGCCCTGCAGCTGCAGCCCCATGTCTATGCTGACGCCCGCACAAGCAGCAGCAGCAGCAGCAGCAGCAGCAGCAGCAGCATGACACCTCAGTGCTGCGTGTACACCTCAGCCTATAGGGCCGCTGGAGAGCTGCGGTGTCTGGCGATTGGAGCAGCAGCAGCAGATGTTGCTGTTGCAGCAGCAGCAACTCGCAGCCTCGTCGCGCATGCACTTGGCGTGTACGTTGAGCTGCTGCGCCTCACCTGCCAGCAACTAAGTCCGGAAGTGCAGCAGCAGCAGGACCCGCAGCAGCAGCAGCAGCAGCAGCAGCAGCAGGAGCGTTATCTGCAGCAGCACACGCCGAAGCAGCAAACCAACGGCAAGGACACGGCTCCAGCAGTCCCGCCACTACTTGCTATCGAAAGTGCAGCGTCAGCAGCAACAGCAACGACATCAGCAGCAGCAGAAGCAGCAGCAGCAGCAGCAGCAGAAGCAGAAGCAGTAGAAGCTGCCTGCGCTTCGTGCAGCCGCTGCAGCTGCGCTGGTTGCTTCGGAATATCAGTTGGTCTTGCTGCGGCTGCTGCTGCCCCGTCTGTTGATGCTTCGTTCGAAGCAGCAGAAATGGCAGCAGCAGCAGCAGCAGCAGCAGCAGCAGCAGCAACTTCTGTTACAGGCGATTCTCTGGGCTGTCTGCGGGTGCTGCTCAAAGGGGCTTGCTGCAGCATCCGCTGTGCCACATATGAAGGAAGCAGCACAGCCGTCGGCAGCAGCAGCAGCAACAGCAGCCGGAGCAGCAGCAGGAACAGCGGCAGCAGCAGCAGCAGGATACGAGGCGCCTTCGCTCCAGATGTGCGGCCCGTCTTCAACGGAGGCAGAAGCAGCAGCAGCAGCAGCAGCAGCAGCAGCAGCGACTCGCTGCTGCTCTTCTTTGAGCTATACGCCTCCGTCAGCAGCGGCAGCGCGACGCTGCTGCTGCTGCCGGGGCCCCGCGAAGTGTCTCTCTTTGCTGCAGCACATCAGCCGCAGGAGCTGCTGCTGCAGCAATACGCTTCTCCAGCAGCAGCAGCAGGTGCAGCAGCAGCTGCTGCTGAGGCGCTAATTCGGGGCAGCAGAAACAGAACTTCTTCGCTGCGTTTGCCTCTGCCGCCAACGCCCCAACAACAGCAGCAGCACCAGCAGCAGCACCAGCAGCAGCAGCAGCAGCAGCAGCAGCAGCAGCAGCAGCAGCGGCAGCGCTTAAACACTATTCAGCAGCAAGACACAACGGCGAAGGAGCCTCTGGTGCTGCTGTGCATGCGGTTCGTTGTGAGGCATGCCTCGCAGCAGCAACGCCCCCACTACAGCAGCAGCAGCAGCAGCAGCAGCAGCAGCAGCAGTCCCCTCGCAACAAGCTTCGCTTCTTTTGGTCTCCACGAAGGTCTGCTGTTTTTGCTGCCGCCGCCCCCTTTCCGGTCGTTTTTGCCGCTGCAGCAGCAGCTGCTGCAGCAAGTGACGCAAGGTGCTGCAGCAGCAGACAGGGACTCTGCTGCAGCGCGGCGCTGCCGCCAGCTGCAGCTGCTGCGGGCCGAGGCGGCTTCTGGAGCATCACTGCAGCAGCCCCTTTTGTTTTTTCGAGTCCGCAGCAGCAGCAGCAGCAGCAGCAGCAACAGCTGCAACTGCCTGTTGCTGCACCCGGAGGTTGTTGCCCTGCTGCTTAGCTGCAGCAGCACGCTGCAGCAGGAAGCTGCCGCGGTTGCAGCCGCAGGTGCTGCTGCCTCAGCAGCAGTGGCTGCTGCTGCTGCTGCTGCTGCTGCAACGAGCCCAGCAGCAGCAGCTCTCTCCACCCAAGCAAACGAGAGCCCCCGGAGCCGACTTGGGCGCTACGCTAGCAGGAACAGCAGCAGCAGCAGCAGCACCGGCAGCAGCAGACGCGGAACGACTGCAGCAGCAGCAGCAGCAGCAGCGGCGAGCAGGCTGTGGCCCTTGCTGCTGCTGAACCCCGTAGCTGACTGCCAGCTGCCTGAGTTGCTGCTGTGCCTCTGCAGGTCTCCCGGCGGCGCAGCAGCAGCAGAAGCAACAGCAGCAGCAACAGCAGCAGCAGTTGATGACAGCAAGCTGCTGTGTCTGCTGCTGCCGAGCATCATCTGGGAAGGACGCTTGCTGCGCTGTGGGGCCCTCCGCGTGTGGGGGCGCCAACCCCTGCTGCAGCAGCAGCGAGGGCAAGAAGAGCAGCAGCAGCAGCAGCAGCAGCAGCAGCAGCAGCAGCAGCAGCCAGACAACCACCAACAGCAGCAGCCAGAGTGCTGGCAGCAACGCGCTGAAATTGGGCCGCTGCTAGTGCAGCTGAGCACTCTGAGCTGCTGCTGGTCATCAGATCGCAGCAGTTCTCGTGAGGAGGCAGCTGCAGCAGCAGCAGCAGCAGCAGCAGCAGCAGCAGCAGCGCCTGCTGCTGCCACAGCGACGACGCTGCGGGTAGTGCTGCACTGGGAGAAGGAGCTGCTGCTGCATGCAGCAGAAGCAGATGCTGCTAGCCTCCTGCTTTGGTGGCAGCAGCTGCGCAGCAAATGGACACTTGCGGGCATTACGGAGGAGCAGCAGCAGCAGCAGCAGCAGCAAAGTACGTGCAGCGGCAGCACGGGCCAGTGCGCCGTAGCTGGAGACAGGAGCTACCACGGAAGCAGCAGCAGCAGCAGCAGCAGCAGCAGCAGCAGCAGCAGCAGAAACAGCACCACTTTGTGGCAGCAGATCGGGGTGGAGGCAACCAGCGTTTTCGCTGTGCAGTTGCTAGTGTCTCAACAGCTGCAGCAGCAGCAGCAGCAGCAGCCATGGGGCTTGACTCTGGGACTTGGCAGGGCACAGCTGGAGCTCTACAAGCCCCCAAAGTCCTTCAGCAGCAGCAGCAGCAGCAGCAGCAGCAGCAGCTACATGCCCGCGCTGCTCAGTGGCTGGCGCTTGCTTTTGAGTCGTCCGTACGCTGCACTGTTGCAGCCGCAGCAGCAGCAGCAGCAGCAGCCGCAGCAGCAGCAGCTGCTGCTGCTGCTACAGCAGCATGCCCACCGGCAAGTCTTCGGCGTGTTCGCTGCAGCAGCAGACGCCGCTGCTGCTGCTGCTGTCACGAAAGATGCAGCAGCGGCAGCTGGGGCGCTGCTGCTGCATGCAGAAGAAGAAGTGACGGCCCCTCAGTTCAGCAGCACTTCCTTGCCTATTGTTTCTGCTGCGTCTGCGTCTGCTGTGAGCAGCAGCAGCAGCAGCAGCAGCAGCAGCAGCAGCACTGAAAGCAGCACCTGCTCCAGCAGCTGGTGGCTTGCTGTTTCTGCTGAACGGAGGAAAGGCCTTGCGGCGATTCACAAGTGCCCGCAGCAGCAGCAGCAGCAGCAGCAACAGCAGCAGCAGCAGCAAGACAGACATGCTTCCAGTTGGTGTCTCCTCGATGGAGAAGCGGTCCTGCAGCAAACCACGTGGGGAGTTGTGCTGCTGCCAGTAACGTTGCAGCTGCCTGCAGTTGCTGCTGCTGCAGTCTGCTCAATCCTGGGCTCTTTTGCAGCAGCCGCTGCTGCTGCTGCCGCTGCTGCTGCTGCTGTGGCACCTCCAGGACTGGATGCTGTCAAGGTACTTTCTGTGGAGCTCCTGAGGCAGAGGCTGCAGCTCCAGACAGCGGGAGCCGCGGCTGCCGCTGCTGCTGCTGCTGCTGCTGCTGCTGGCGTTGTTGCAACAGCTGCAGCAGCTGCAGCAGCTGAAACACACGCGGAGCTGCCGCTGCTGCAACGCAGCAGCTGGGAAGTCCGCTGTGGCAATTTGGCTCTTCACTTGCCTGTTTCTTCTGCAGCAGCAGGAAACGAGGAAGCAGCAGCAGCAGCAGCAGCGAACCCAGAGGCAGCAGCAGGAAGCCTGGTGGTCACGGTGGCGGACTTTTTTGCATCTGTTGTTTCCCTCCGTGCGTACCATCAGCAGCAGCAGCAGCAGCAGCAGCAAGACGGTCACATGGTCCAGCAGCAGGAGCTGCTGCTGCTGGCAAACGTCAGTGCTGCTGCTTCAGCTCCAGCGGCAGCAGCAGCAGCAGAAACAGGAGCAGCAGAAACACTCTTTAGCTGCGGTGATCGGCTATTCATACACCCCGTCAGTCTTCGCATTCACAAGTCAGAGAAGAGCAGCAGCAGCAGCAGCAGCAGCAGCAGCAGGCTCGAAGAGTGCTGCTGCTGCACTGCGTTGCTGCGGTCTTGCTGCTGCGACGCTTGCGGCAGGTGCAGCCACGTCTTAGGAGAGTTTGCTTGTGGGACCCACAGGCCGCTGCAGTGCGAGCAGCAGCAGCAGCAGCAGCAGCAGCAGCAGCAGCAGCAGCAGCAGCAACTTTTGCAGGTCTCTCGAAGTCTCCCCCTTGGCTGCCGTTTGCATGCGCATGCCTCTGCAGTGTACGTGGACCTCAGCGACCAGGCAGTGCTGCTGCTTTTGCTGCAGCTGCTGCATCAGATCCGGAGGCATGCTGCAGCAGTAGCAGCAGCAGCAGAAGCTGCAGCAGCATGCGCTGTTTCCGTACCTGACAGCAGTGATATTGCTTCTACCATTGTGCTTGAAGGCGATGTGCAGCAGCAGCAGCAGCAGCAGGAGCAGCAGCAGCAGGCACAACAGCTTCAGCAGCATGAGCAGCAGCAGCACATGCAGCAGCTGCAACGACAAGAGCAGCAGCAGGAACTGCTTCTGCAAGCAGATGCACTTGAAGTGCTGGTGGCCTCTCCCTGTGCAGCAGCAACAGCAGCAGTTGCTGCAGCACCAGCAGCAGCAGCAGGATACAAGGAGGGCGCTGCTGCAGCCCCTGTTGATTTGCTGTGGTGTGGAGACGCCGTGTCAACAGCCTGCAGCAGCAGCAGCTGCAGCAGCAGCAGCCACAGCCGCAGCAGCAGCTGCGGTCTATGTAGGAGCAGCAGACGCTCAGGCAGAAGGCCAGCAGCAACAGCAGCAGCAGCAGCAGCAGCAGGTGCAGACAGCTCTGCAGCGGACACACAAGCTGCAGCAGCAGCAGAACACGAGAAAAGGGAGCCTTTGGCTCAGTTGCTGCAGCGAGTGGCAGCTGACCGAATTTGCATGCGTCGTTTGCTGCTGCGCAATGGAGTGCAGCTTCCTGTTGCTGCTGCTGCTGCTTCTGCTGCTGCTGCCATTGATGACTGCGCACCAATCGCTCTGAGAGCTGTGGGGCTGCAGCTGCAGCAAAGCAGCAGCAGCAGCAGCAGCAGAAGCAGCAATTGCAGAAGCTGCAGCACACGATTTTCCTTGCAGACTCTTGTGCTGCAGCTCGGCAGATCTGCTCTGGTGTCTGTACACCCAGCAGCAGCAGCAGCAAGTGCGACAAAGAAGAAGCAAAGGAAGCAACAGCAGCAGCAGCAGCAGCAGCAGCAGATGTCATGCGGCATTGAGGTGACGTGGACACTAGCTCCTGGCCCAGAGACAGCAACAGCAGCAGCAGCAGCAGCAGCAACAGCAGCAGCAGCAGCGGCAGCTCAGCGGACAGTTTGCCTCAACAGCGTGGCCCTCGTGCTGCACCCGCATGCAGCGCAGCAGCAGCTGCTGCAGCTATCCAAGAGTCGCACTTTGCTGCTGCTGCAGCGAGCTTTCGAACCAATAGATGTGGGCAAGGCAATACAGCAAGAGCACTCAAAGCAGCAGCAGCAAAGACCGGAGCAGCAGCAGCAGCAGCAAAGACAGCAGTGCCAGCAGCAGGTGGACAAGCTCTTCGTAGATTTCCTGCTGCTGCATGCGGCAGAAGGCAGCAGCAGCAGCGATCTCAGGGCTTTGCGGCTGCTGCTGCACCAGGGGGCTGCAGTCATTTGGCCTCCACAGGAGCAGCAGCAACAGCAGCGCCAGGTGGAAAAGACGCAGCAAGTGCAGCAGCAGCAGGAAGAGCAGCAGCAGCAGGAGGAGCAGCAGCAGCAGCAGCATCACGCCGTAGAGCTTTGCGAGCTGCAGCGACGGCAGCACTCATTCGCTGCGTATATGTGCAAGCCATCTGCTGCTGCTGCAGCAGCAGCAGCAGGCAGCAGCAGCTCGCGCACCGTAGACGTTATTGCTGCTGCCGTGTCGCTTTGCTGCTGGGCTGCAGCAGCACCGCTGCAGCACCTGCCGCTGCTGCCGCCAGTGCGGCTGAGTGGCACGGTGTCTATACACCACAACAAGGCTCTGGCAGCAGCAGCAGCAGCAGCAGCAGCAGCAACGGGATATCTGCCCGTTGCTGCTGCTGGGGAGGGTGCAGCAGCAGCAGCTGCTGCCCAGCTTGCATGCACTTGCCTGCGGCGACTGTACATCTCAGCGGGCCTAAGCCTTCATCAGGCCTCACCAGTTAGTGGGCAAGCAGCAGCAGCAGCAGCAGCAGCAGCAGCAGCAACAGCAACAACAGAAGCAGCAACAGCAGCGACAACTGCGGCCGTAGTGGCTGATGGTGGCGCTGCTGCTGCTCCTGCTGCTGCTGCTGCTGCTTCATACACCGAAGGAGCTGCTGAGTTTCAGGTGTCTCCCGTGCTGCTGCGTCTGTCTCCTTGGAAGCTGCAGCTGCTGCTGCAGACCATCGCTGGGGTGAGAGACATGGCTGCTGCTGCTGCTGCTGCTGCTGTTGGCACTGCAACTGCTGCTTCCGTGCCCATGGAAAAAGAGACCGGCGCTGCTGCTGCGCCAGAAGCAGCAGCAGCAAAAGCCGCAGCAACAGCAACGGCTGCAGAGCCCGCAGACTGGCAGCTGCTTCCTTTCAAGCTTCCTCTGCAGCAGCCTGGCTCAGCAGCAGCAGCAGCAGCAGCAGCAGCAGCAACACCACCACCACCAACAGCAGCAGCGAGAGAAGGTCACGGGAGGTCTGGCTGCGCCTGCCTGCAGCTGCGCGTTGCTGCAGTTCCCAGCAATTTCTGCAGTGACGAAGAAGCAGAGGCTGCTGCTGCTGCTGCTGCACTCGACTGCATGCATGCAGTCTTCCGCAGCCTCCCTGCAGCAGCAGCTACTGCAGCAGCAGCAGCTGAGCAGCAGGAGCCGCAGGAGCTGCTACAGGTGCTCCTTTGCCTGCCCAGACCTGCCTGTCTGGTGGCTGCTGCAGTGCAGGCCGACCCCCACGACCCTCAGGAGCTCGAGCAGCAGCAGCAGCAGCAGCAGCAGCAGCAACAGCAGCAGCAGCAGCAGCAGCAGGGATGGGCAGTGCAGCGTGTAGAGGCGTACGACGAGCTGCAGCGGAAATTTCGTGGGGCCCATTTTGGCCGCCCAAGGCGGAGCAGCAGCAATTTGCTTGCGCGGCGCTTCAGGGTCACCTTGCAGCACCCACGGCAGCAGCAGCAGCAGCAACAGCAGCAGCAGCAGCAGCAGCAACTGCTGCTGCTGGCTGCCTTCCCAGTGCTGCCCGCTGCGCTGCGGCAGTGGAGGGTGTCGCTACAGTGTAACGGTTTCTGTGCTACTTTCGCGCATGCTGCAGCAGCAGCAGCAGCAGCAGCAGCAGCGCCTGCAGCAGCTGCTGCAGCAGCAGGGCTGTATCCGTTTGACGCTTTGGGTCTCGAGGCCCCTGCAATGGAAGCAGCAGCAGAGTCTCTGCACCTGTCGCTGCAGCATGTGGCTCCTGTAGCTGCAGTCGCAAGTGCTGCTGCTGCTGCTGACCCTGCTGCTGCTGCTGGTCTTGCTGCTGCAGGGGGCGTTGCTTTGCTGCTGAACCTGCAGCAGCTAAGGGCCCGGGTGCAGCACCCCTCTACTCTGCAGCCGCTGCAGCTGCTGCACTGCCCTGCAGTCGCTGTGCACGCAGCAGTAGCAGCAGCAGCAGAAACAGCAGCAGCAGCAGCAGCAGGACTCGTTTCTCTTGTTCCTGCGCTCTCCAAGCTAGAGCCAGGTGGTGCTGCAGTGGGTTTGCTGCTGCAGCAGCAGCTGACTGTACATCTGGATGCGCTGCGTTTATGGCGCGCTGTAGCAGCAGCAGAAGCAGTTGCTGCTACGTTCGCCAAGGAAGAAGACCTGCCGCAGCAGCAGCAGCAGCAAGAGCAGCAGCAGCAGCAGCAACAGCAGCAGCAGAAAGCCCATCCTGAAGCAGCAGCACTGCAGCAAGTGCCCCCCCACGTGCCTTTGCTGCTGACGAATCTGCTGCCTGTTCCTCTGCTGCTGCAGCAGGGGTCCTTTGGCGGCTCGCTGCTGCTGCCTCCAGGTGCAGCAAAAGCAGCTTTCTGGTGTGTCCCTCCAGCTTACCCCAGCAGCAGCAGCAGCAGCAGCAGCAGCAAGGAAAGGATGTCGCTGCGGTTCGCTCTCGCTTGCGGTGGCGGCTGGTCGGCTCCTGTATTTCCTGCTGCTGCTGCTGCTGCGTCTGCTGCTGGAGCTGCTGCTGTGCGCTGGGAGCCACTGCTGCTGCCAGCAGCCTCAGGGACCTCTTGTGTCGTCTTGCTGCCGAGATGCGGCAGCAGCAGCAACAGCAGCAGCAGCAGCAGCAGCAGCAGAGTGAGCTACAGAGTGTGGTTTGGGGTGTGCAGCCGCACGCCGCTGCAAGTGTGCTGCTTCATTTGCCCTCCGCTGCTTCTGCAGCAGCAGCAGCTAATGCTGCCACTGCTATTTCGCACCCATATAGGCGAGCAGCAGCAGCATCATGCGGAACGGCAGCAGCAGCAGCAGCAGCAGCAGCAGCAGCATGGCGACTTTGGCCTGTGCTTCCAGAGAGAAGTACCATCATTACACATGCTGCTGAGGCTGCTGCTGCCGAAGCAACAGCAGGAGCAGCAGCTGCTGCCGCTGCAGCAAGGCCAAAGTGCGCTGCAGCAGCGAGAGGGCCCAGCAGGTGCATGTGAAGACCAGCAGCAGCAGCAGCAGCAGCAGCAGCAGCAGCAGCAGCAAGAAATGCAGCACACACTAGGTTCCATTTACACTAGCAGTGCTCGCGATAACAGCGTGCAGTTGCAGCAGGTGCTGTTACAGCAGCAGCAGCAGCAGACGCAGAAGCAGCAGCAGCATGCAGAACAGCAGCAACAGCAGCAAGAACAACAGGACTTCGACTGGGCAGCAACAGCAGCAGCTGTGGGTCAACTGGGCCCGTCTGCTGCTGCAGCTGCTGCAATCTTGCCGCCTGCTGCTGCTCCCTTGTCTGTGTCCTTGTCACTTCAAGCTCGTCATGCAGCAGCAGCAGCAGCAGCAGCAGCAGTAGCTCCTGCTGCTCCTGGCAGCTTCGGGGGCCTCACAGGGCCCCTGCTGCTGCTGCAGGCAGCTAACGGGCAGGAGCAGCAGCATCCGAGACGGCAGCAGAGCTTCCTGCGGTGGCTGCAGCAGCAGCCAGGGCAGCAGCAGCAGCAGCAGCAGTTTCGGGCGGGTTTCGTTATGCTTCCTTCGGCGCCCCCTGAGGAGCCGCAGCAGCAACACGACCAGCAGCAGCAGCTGCAACGGCAGCAGCAGCTGCAGCAACAGCAGCAGCAAGAACAGGAGCAGAGCACTGCTTGCCTCTTCTGCTACGCTGGCAGTGTGGACGTCGACAGCTTTGAGTGCAGCAGCAGCAGCAGCAGCAGCAGCAGCAGCAGCAGCAGGGGCCCGCTGATGCTGCGGATGCGCCCGGCGCTGTGTGTGAGCAACAAAACCAGCAGCAGCTTGCTGCTGCAGCTGCAGGGCACATCGTCGAGGGACATCAAGGAGCTGCTGCTGCTGCCCTCCTCTGCTCTGCAGGTTTGCTGTTGCTGCTGCTGCTGCTGCAGCTGATGCTGCTTCTACTGCTGCTTTTGTGCTGCTGCTATGGCTTCCAGTGTTGTTGCCGTTGGACTGCCTGCTGCAATGCTAGCTGATTCTTTTGCCTGTTTGAGCTGCTGCAGCTGGGCTCAGTATTGCTGTTGCTGCTGCTGCTGCTGCTGCTGCTGCTTCATCCTCCCCGTTGCTGCCGCTGCTGCAGCTCCTGAGTGAAGGTGCAGCAACTATTCTGCGGTGTGTGTGCAGCTTATCGACGCTTCTGTGCCTCAGTTGTTGG